AAAAAGCTAGTGCTCTTAAGCTCTGCTTTGTTGTACTATGAGTATTTTAAATATTCATTTTATGATTATAAATCATTTTCTATCTCTCAATCTTCTCTTTCGTTCCAAAAAAAAAAAAAATTGTTAAATTCATTATTTTCCTTTTGTGTAGGCAAATAAAATTACTTTCCTTATTCCTTATCAAAGATTTTATTTTGCATATTTTTATTGGGCCTGAAAATGGAATATCAGAATTACCCAGCCCAGTTCCGGGCCCGAGTCAAAACTCAAAAAGCTACCCTATAGGCCCACGAACAAACACTAACCAATTTTTCTAGGGCCCCCAATTGAAACCCTAATACTATAAAATCTAGGGTTTTGTCCCTCTCTTTCCTCTCCTCGAGCTGCTGCTGCTGCTGCTGTGTGCGTATCTGCATCTTCGAGTTCTTAGAGCTTAGGGTCTTCAGCCATGGCGGACAAGGCGGTGACTATTAGGACCAGGAAGTTTATGACCAACAGGCTCCTCTCCAGGAAGCAATTCGTAAGCTTTCTTGTCTTTTTCTGCAATTCTTCTTTCATTTTGAAAGCCGGTTAGTGTTTGTGTTGGCGGCGACTTGTAGAGGCTGTATACGTGTACGTGGCTTGGGGTCGGTCTTGTTTAAGGTTGGAATCCGTTTGGAGAAAAGGGAAGTTTGGGAAAATCTTGGGTTTTTTGTTAGTGGGCAAGTTTCGTACATGAACTGCAGATATGTTGTAGATAGGATCTATATCCTGTTGGTTGAAAAATCATTTTGGGTCTGTTTTTCGCCTGTAAAAGATTATGTTTTTACAATAGTTGAAGGAGTGTTTTTTATTAATGAATAAATGGGGAAATTGCATATGGGATAAGTTTATAATATCATTAGCTTAACTGTGTTATGCACTCTGTTCAATGCAGGTTATTGATGTGCTCCATCCTGGAAGGGCCAATGTTTCCAAGGTAAATATTCATTTGAAGCCAGTTGTTTGCACTTTTATTTTTTGTTGTAAGATTCGTAGATCTGTTTATAGAGAGTAATTGTTGAAGGAAACGATTAATTGTTGTGTCGCATCTATCCTGACATTGTAGGCGGAGTTGAAGGAGAAGCTTGGAAGAATGTATGAGGTGAAGGACCCAAATTCAATCTTTGTTTTTAAGTTTAGGACACACTTTGGAGGAGGCAAATCTACTGGATTTGGTTTGATTTATGATTCCGTTGAGAGTGCCAAGAAGTATGAGCCCAAGTACAGGCTTATCAGGGTAATTTGCTCTGATTTTCCTATGTAGGAATTAAATGATTGCAGTTCTTTTCCATGTTTGTGACATGTTCTTCAATTTGGATATTGTTATGTAGGAAATTTTGTGTGTAATTTGAACTTTATTCATCCTTAATTTATTGTAGGATTTCTTAAGTTGTTTTAATGCTGAAATTTTTCTAGGTTGTCCACTTTTAAGTTCTATTTTTTTCTATAATTTGTGCTGAATGACTGCTTGGCTGGCTAGAACATTTCCTTTTTGATAATCTGATAACATCCATCATTCATTATGCCGTTCTCATTTCTTTTTAGAAGTTAAACTTCAGTAGCTTCATGCTTGTCATCCAGGAATAACAGCCACCATGTTTATGTCTCAATTTCCAATAGTTATGAACTTTTCTAGATAACATTGATATTCCTTTTAGGATTGGGTTGATCAGGTCAATTTCCATTTTTTCCGTTTTTGAATTGTGTTACAGTGCTATATGTCCAGCAGTGCCTTCTCTTCACTGCATCCCACATTTTTTCATTTATTAGATAACCTTATCTTTAAAGAAATACATTTGTAGTTGTAGACTGCATTCATTCCCTCATTTTTGGAGCACAATTTTCTAGTAAAAATGTCTTCCGTGGATTTTTTATCTTATGAATGAATTTTTTGTTGATATTGCAGAATGGCCTTGACACCAAGGTAGAGAAATCAAGGAAGCAAATGAAGGAAAGGAAAAACAGGGCCAAGAAGATTCGTGGTATCAAGAAGGTAAATTAAGTGCTTTCAAGCTACATTTCTTCTTATGTGTAGATTGTTGTAGCTGTTCACCACTCATGAACTTCTTGATGAGGTTGATTTTCCAATTTGGCATCTTATCTTGTTTTGCAGACCAAGGCTGGCGATGCTGCCAAGGCAGGAAAGAAGAAATGAGTTCCAACACAGTTTCTTTAGTGATCTTCTCCGTTTGGTTGTTTTTGAACGACTTAATTTGAACAATGATCTGGAAAGTATCCTATCTTTAGTTATATTGTCTTGTGTTGAGTATTTCAGCTAGCACAATTTTGAAATGTTAATTACTTAATCGTTATTGTTTCTCATTGTTTGCCTGTCATTTTTTTTCTTCTCTGGTTAAGAGATGTGAACTTCATTAGAATGAGAACAGTTTACACACAATAATCATTTATGGTCACCTACATTACTAAAAGAAGCTAGAATCTACAGTACTAATGGTATGAGATTTTGCTCATCCTGAACATCGACAATTAAGTGAAGAGGGATAACTATTACTAGAGATCATAAAGGCAGTCATCTGCAAGGGCATGTGCCAAGTTGCAACAGTAGAAAGACAATCTTGATGTTGAATAATTCAAC